AATAGAACCACTTAGTGATGCTGGGTTCACAACAGCTGCAGCTGGAACTGAATGGTGCGGAAAGAAAGCAGGGTAAGGAGTTGGATTAGCCGCCAAAGGTGGTGGTATAACGAGCTGAGGTTGAGCGATGGTAACTGGCGCTCCTGATGATAGCGTTGGAACAACGACAGCAGGTGGAGGTATCACACCTCCAGTTATTCCGCCATCTGCAGTCACTGTAACAATTGCCGGTACCGTTGGCTGAGCACCAGGTGAAGAACTTGGTCCACCAGGAAGCAAAACTCGTCGCTTCAGAGGACCTTGTGGAATAGCTATACGTGACGCTAACTCATCGTCTTTCATCATCTGAAATATATAAATTAATCACATAAACAAACCACTGGTAAGAAAACATTCCCTTCCTGCACTTTGGGAAACCGCTAACCTGGTCGAATATTGGCTGTGTAAAACTGTTGAGAGGCAAATGTGAAAATTGGCATGGATCTTTCGAGCATTCTCCTTTATGAAAAGCTTTACATGGATACTCTCCATGTAGTAAAGGGCACTGAAGGCCTTTTTTACAAAAACCTTGTTGGTAGAATTTGCAGAGTTCAGCTTTGCGACCAGAATCTGCAGCATCGTGAGAATATGAACAGCTGTCGCCCTAGAATTTCGTAAATCATGTTTACAAAATTTTTTGCGCTTTATGATTTCTAAAACTTTTTTAATCACGATAAACACAATGATGAAAAAGCTTAGTAGCTGGCCAAAGCAATCAGTTTACAGACGTTTCTAAAAACTAATTCACTTTTGAAAAGGCGTAGATAATTAAAACAAATCAAGATCACTTACATCTCTACAGTATCCTTCACGGAAGAATTTACAAATCTGACGCTCGCCCCAACGCCCTCGAAAACCTCTTCCGCGATAGCAACCTCGCACTGGTGGCGAATGTCTTGGTCGTTTGGGACCACCGTATATTGGACTTATAGAGCGTCGACGGCTGCAAAAAAGTCTGCTTCTCGAAAATAGAAATCTAAATTTATCCATCCCAATATTTGAATCATACCTTAAACTACAGCGATCAGAAGTATTTGAGACTACAATGAATTTTTGTTGACTACATATCCTCTGAATTATTTTTTAACATCTCAAAATGAATGCCAACCGTCTTTCCATTTTGGGTGATCCAGCTCTGTAATCGCTATCGCCAAATTCATTCACATCACCAGATCCTCTGTGTCCATCTTCATCTCGTATCCAACGATAATCCTTGAAATATTACTTTCGAAGTCAGAAAACATTTATATCAGAAACTATGACTAAGTTAGTATTTCTACGAAAGCCTGAAGAAAACGATGATAAGAACAAAACGAGAATGATAAGATCACTAATGATAAGTTGTTTTTCCTATTGGCCTACAGCAAACAAAATTGACTTAGCATCATAATTAAAAAATGTTTAATAGAGCGAAATGCCATTTAAAGAAACAAAAGCCTTTCCATGAACACTACTCCACAAAGCATACAAAACACATAATTATACCTTATCAGCTGAATCCCCTCCACGATTCCTATAATCTTTGTCCCCAGTCCCATCATTTGGTGAGTTACTGCCGTACCCATAATATTCTTCATTTGCATCAACCGTTGGAGAGGCGATTGTTGTGATCCCCGGCTTTGCACGCTGTTTTACGCCAGTCATCCAAGAACTGAGCATGCTACTTTCAGCACTTCTCGTATTCTAAATTTTATTTTTCAGATTGCAAGTAACTCAAATTTAAACAGCCTTACATTTCAAAGACCGAATTTAAAACATCTCCGCGACAAATACTTCTTGGCTGAAATATTTAGTAACTTCAATACATCAAACTGTAACATATCATTTTTGAAAGCACAAGTTTGAAAATGACTAGTGCTCATTTCTCCCGCTTACTCAATCATGTGTCTCAAATGCTCCAAAAATGCACACGAGCGAGCCATACGCGTTTCACTCGTCCACTAAACTCAGACACTGACTGCGGAAACGATATTATCTATTCCAGATTAAATGGGTAGAATACGGATAGCATAAGGATTTTAATATTACAAATTGTCAAGACTCATCCACCAAATCTCAGAGCTGACTGAGGAAATGATATCACTTATTCCGCATTAAGCGGTAGGATAAGGACAGCATAAGGGCTCTAAAAACCACATATTGAGTTTCTAATTAAGTTCCTAGCGAAATTCTGAAAATGAATCCTGGTTGAAGAGCATTACTGAAGTGAGTTATTGATCAAGAAATATCATTTTCTTCATAAAAACTATGGTAGTTGCGATATTGTGGGCAGTTTTTGGAAGGTCCACAAAGATCACTAGATACAACTGTAAATACACTGTAATGCATTTGTTGCGTTTGCTGCATTTGCATGAATTCTCCACCATCTGCTTGTTTTTCAGACATCTCCACTCATCATCATCATTTTTCCTTCTTTTTTACCAGTTATTTTATTATTATTATTCGTTCATATTTCTGTTTTTGCATGTTGAATAGTTTTATGCGTACCCCCATTTCTTTGTCGAGATCACGTGGTTTACGTGAAGGTGGCTGATTCGAAGACACATTTGGAGATACCGCCTGCACTGCCTCTTGATTTTCCGTTGTTTCACGATCGCGTCCTGAACAAAATTCGCATAAATGTCATGTCGATACTACTATGAATTAAAGTATTATTGAGATGATAAATTACAACCATAACGAGCAAAATGTTATACCACCCATCGCAGCATTTAGATAAATTCTAACAACAGCAACAAGAATAACCTTCAACATCTTCGTCGTCACAGATTTCACCTTCTTCAGGTAGCTCACCATCTTCTACTTCTACGTCTGCAATGGTTTTGCTTTCCATTTCAACGTCTTCCCTTATTGCTCCCGAGAATTCGTATTCTTCCAATGAGCCTGCCATAACAACATCGACCATTGTTAATGCATCACTTTTTTTCTGTCAAATAATATCGTCAAATCCATATGACAATATGCCATTCAAAAACGCGTGCGAAAACGAGCAGGATATGCAATGGAAATGGACATATGGCCTTCTCTAGAGTTTCGATTAAATTATTTCAATGAGCATGATCTCTCTCTTTCAAGTTGTTGGGAAAGATCGGGCTTTTAGAACTGTATGAAGGTTGTTCCACCTCATAAAAGGCCCGTTGAAACAGTTTACGCCATCTTCAACATTATGTTGAATAAATGTAACCGTCTCTTGTCTACTGTCCAAGAGAGTGCCTATTTACATCAGAATGCTTGGCATTTCCAAAGCACTCTCTTTCACATGTAATAATGGTCGACTTCGTGATTGGGGAGTGGAAAATCAGAGAAAGGACGAATGACGATGTGGAACAAGAATATGTGAAGTTATTTCCCAAGATAGAAATTAAAATTAAAGAAATGTCATAAGTGAAATTCATTTCCGCAGCAAATACGATGATAACTGACCACAAAAATACCACAGGAATGCTTTGTATAGTTTACAAGGTATCTATTACCATAGTATATTACATTATGTACAATCAGAGAAGTGTCCATATTTCGACTGTTACACTTCATTCTCACTTGTTGGTAAGCAGTTCGAGAAGCAAATGTCACGTCTTTTATGTTAAGTTGATAACCGGAGTAAACAATTGTTTCTTTTTCCTTTTTAAAAATTGCCACTCCCCCAATTAAATAACCTTGAATTCTAGAAGGACGAAGTAAAAAAGCGAACAAAACATACATGGCCCTAAACAATGCTCAGATAAAAAACTTTATACAAAGTGATTTATCAAGTTCTTAACGATAACAGTGCCCTGCCTATTAATTCCTTGCAACTCTCTTTAATCCATCGACTCTTTCAAAATGACAACCGGTCTTCCGTAACAAACGTGGGCATGACTCACTGATAATTTACACTTATTGTATCTTAAAAAAAGGATTGGAAACAGTTTTTTTTTTCCAAAAGGTTCACATAAACTGAGACCAGCGTCCCTACACTATAATCCTGAACATTCGTGGTTTCATCAGAAGTGATGAAACAAGCATTCTGAAAAGTAGAGCTATTACTAGAAAAATTTTTCTGAAATGACGAATACCAAACGCACTTTTGGTAGTATATCATGGCAGTTAATTCAATGACATGATGTCGATTAAAAAGAAAATATGTTGATATCTAAGACTATTCCCATGGCTGTAGATCGGCTACTTACATAAGTGGAATTTGATACCACACCACCAGAAATAGAACTGAAGAACTTAAATTAGCAGACAAGCATATATGTCAGTGTCATGGTAGTTTTGAAGAACAATGAAATTAAACTCATCTCAGTTCGTGAAGTGATTTAATTCCTCCACGAAATTCGGATGTTTCTATTTGCAATTTTCGATTTGCTTAATCCTAAACTGCGGACAATTAATATTGGTTAATTGTAAATCGTACTTTGCTATTTTCACTTTCCGCGTTCTAACATCAATAACATTCGCTATAATTTACTAACCGCAAAACGAACATGTCTTCTCAATCATTTTATGAACATTAATACTCCAACTACTTTCAAATAAATGCAAATGTCATAGCTGTTCTGAGATATCCCTTACAACCCTGAAATGAACTCAAAAATGAGCATCAAATACCCTTCCAACACGGAGTGAGATTCTAGAAACAAAAGCCTCAAGTTCATAAAAACCATTCTTCTACCTAAATCAGGCTGAAAGCACCCCTGGACCTGTCCTAAAGATTCATAATACTTTCGCAACAAAGAATTTTCGCAACATCTTTTCGGTGCGATAAACCTCCTATCCAGTTATAAGTTCACCTTTCTTACAGCATGAGGAGAAGCGCTTACATGACAAAATTTTAAGTAGCGACTGTATTGCTTCCACTCATACATCACTTAAACGATTCCATTTTACCTGGGAATCCTCCTCTTCCCTCCACACTGATATTTTTTCAAGCTTAAATGTTGTCAGCACATTTCCTTCCAATAGAAAGTTTATAAGAGATGTACGTAAAATGCTTTCACAGTTTAGATAAAAATGTAAACAGAGATTTTGAAACTTCATTTTACAAGCTACCTTCGGTATTTAGGAACCCATGCACTGGGTACCCGGTGGACCTTGCTCGATTTTTTTAAGAAATTGTAGTTAAAAGTGTGCTGTGAAATTCTTCGAAAACTTTTCAAGCTGCATGCGCACTATTGCGACAGGTGCATAAAGCTACTACTTGAATCATGAACATAAACAGTTGAAGGGAAGAGGACACCTCTAAAACGTGGGAAGACAATGCCACTGATGCATTAAAGTCCCAGGAACAAGAATCAGGAGAGGAAACACGACGCGGCCAGGAGAGAAAGTATGATGGGTACAGTGAACTGATAGCATCTTTGGCTAGCTATCCTCCCTGTCAAATTTAGAGCCTGAGTTGCAGGATTTATCAATAATGTGCTTCTCAACATGTGATGTTCATGGATGCATTCAAGAGCAGGCTTGCTTGCACTGACCATGTCGTTGTATCTTTAGATTCATCTTTGAAAAATCTTTTAATGAAGAGCAGAAATAGTTATCAACGAGAATTACATTCCTCAGCACTGTAACACTGCCACTCGCAACACAACACCATTCTTCATCTCTCATCTTAAACCATACAATATTTCTAGTCGACAGTCGGCAAGCCCAAATGCAGGACTTGATAGTCCGCGACATAAACCACGCCCACAGTCTCAGACCCGCCTTCCGCCCAGGATATGTATACCTTAGCTTGCACACAATTATAGTAAAGCAAGTAAAGCTTACTGTAAATCACTTTCGCAGTTTTATTTCTCCCTTAGGGAGTTAGTAGAGTATCTCGTTCAAGCTATCAATGGTACAAAAATGCACAGAGTAAAACTGTCAAGTGAAAAGCAACAAAATCAACCTCAGAAGACACTCATTCTTCAAATATAAACAACCCCAACTCATATTTCCTGCATAGCTATGAAATCTTGATATTTGCAAAGCAATCTTCTTGTCTGCATAGCAAACGTAAATACTGCACTTGTAAACATAAGTGAGTCAGTTAGGGGAAATAGGGGGAATGATTCGGTTTTTGCGTCATCCAACTCGTACTATTTGCCGAGAAGGGACTCTCATTGGTACTAACGTAGAAATCAACGTATAACTTTTGCATCAACTTTAGCCTCCAACGTACACACATCCAGACTGTGGTCTCTACATCGCCACATTACTAATACTGCAATTGCACACTGGCGTGTACATCGTCGCATCGCCAATACAGCAATGGCCCAACACAACATTCTGCAATTCTTCCTTTTCACCTCTCGTCTGTGTTACAATCTATTAGGACTACCCTAATCTCTGCATTCTTCTGATCTCCATTTCCTCTCTCCCGCTATCTACTGCTGGAGTGCTCTCGTCTCTCACCCACAAACACTATCTTCCACCATATCATAGAATTGATTGGTTTCCTCTCACTCCATGCCTCCCTCTCCTCTCCCTACTCCCATATAACACACCATTCACCTTCCCTGTTGCCTAACAATCTAACCCACTCCGCCTATCATACTCATCCTTCCCTACTGATATCATCTCTATTATTGAATCATTCCAACATCCGTATTAATAGCCAATTCATATGCTGGTATGTGTATGTATGTGCGTGTGCGTGTGCACGCTGTACTTGAGATGACAACAGAGAAGAGACTGCTATGATAAGGAAGAAGAGAGGAAGTGTTTCTCTGGCTGGCTGATGGTGGCAAACAGTATGGACGAGTAAGGCATAGTGATCACGCCGACGGGAAATGACCACTGGAACACGCACCTCATGTCCATCTTTCTGCCCTCTTTCTCTTCCTCCCTCGCTTCCCATTAGCACTTGATAAGCGACAGTTGCCAATTTTGAATATGCTATACTGATTCTCCTACTTTTGTTTTGAAGATTCTGGGGAAAATCTGTGTCACTCATGCAATCCGATATTACAGTATTAAACCAAAAATTAATTGCAAATTCACTTTCATAATTTTACAGATGCCAAAGTTTCATTGCTGTGCGCTTCCAACAGAATCCGGCTTATCTTTCTCTCAAATGCTAATTCATGCAAGAAATTGCTTTGGCTCGCTATGCCTACCATTAAACCATTTAAAACCATTACACAATCCTTTCGGCGATCTTCTCTTACTCTTCGAGGTCAAAGTAAATAAAATATATAAAAAAACCCATATCCCTTCAGATTTCTTAAACCTTCTATCCATGCCCACTCAAGTTATCACTTTTTTAATACAGTATGAAACAAAATTAGCCTGCGCGCACTTTTTTACAAGCTTAAAGTTGAGATAACAGGAAAGTTGTGGTTCGTTTTTTATGCATCTGCATTATTTCCCGTCTTCTATTTTCTTTTCACTCTTACTCGCCTTCACTTTACTTTTCCTAACTTTCACTCTTTGGAAAATATTTCGAAAAGACAACTTTCCATGATTTCATAAAATAAATCAATAAGCAGTGACCGAAAGATACCAGCCACTAAAGACAAACACGTTTCTCAATGGGTTGGAGATGGGGAAAGCATTCGCATTACCAGCAGTGATTCTTGGTTCCGGAACCATCATAACACAATGATGCAGCTTCTGCATAAAATCGGCTTTGTAAATTGTTCAAAAGCTGTTTAACTAATATTAATTTTTACGAAAATTTGTTGGAAAAAGACATCGTTGTTGAAGTTGATGGCGCAATTACTTTCAGTACAATTTGCGATAGAAGCCCAGTGAATTGGTAAGCATAAAAGTTATTCTAATAAACCGACTCTACAATGCGACTCGCACACACACGCAGCACGCACGCACGCACGCACGCACGCGACTCACACACAGACACACGACCAGACATGCATACACAAATATTTGGAGTGGAAGAACCGTGATGCGCGGCTGGCGAACTTTCTACATACACTTAATACCCTGTCTTGCCTATCGTCGCATCAACATATAACACAACTGCTGCAACACACGCGCGTGATACATTTTAACTGCGTTCGTAGCATCGGTAATAGTCCTTCCTCACTTCTCCACATTTCGCATTCCCCACCTTGTTGCCATCCTTTCCTCCTACACACATCGTTTCTTTTGGAAACACGATAGGTAAAACGGCACTAATACCAGCAAATTATACGAGTTATAATCCAGCCAAATAAAAGGCCCAAAGTTACTTATGGGTCCCAGAAACAACCCACATTTAAAATCTTGCACTATTAAATGCTTCAGGTATCCGTCCCTCACATACAGGTATAGCCAATCACTTGATTACTGAAGTTAATGTGTACAGAGAGTGAATATCCCTTCTTATCAAACTCCGTCAAGTTCCGCAGTTTGTGAACAATCAACTTGAAGGTGAGAGAAAGAAGACAGCGACAGTGCGACCTGGAAAGTGATAAAAGCTTCCATGAGAATTGACAGGAATCATTTCGCCTGCTTTCATGCTTCCATGATACATTGAAAATCCCGATGTGCAGCAGTATCCCAAGACGGCAAGGCAGCCAAGACAAAAATAAGAGATCGTATTAAGGGTGCGAGCAATGGCACCAGAAAAAAGTCACACACAAAGAAAATATAAAATGGGTGGACAATGACCTTATTATACCTAATGTACAACTTTTACGTAGTCCTTTTCAGAACTATCTGGGAAGTCTCATAGGGAGACAAAATAGAATGGATTCAAATGACCATTAAATGTGACTTGCTTGTCACTTAATGAATTCATCCCTTTATTCCTAATAGTTTCCGTCTTTCCATATATATATATATAAAGCTTTTGCTTGGAACGACAAATGGAATTTTATAAGCTTATAGTTCCATATGAAAAGTAAGGCTAAGTCAGAAAGCCCAGTATCCGGAAAACAGTATTTTTGGTCCCCAAAGATATGCGTGGATAGTGAATAGTATTTTTATTCACCCTAGCTGTACGTAATCCTGCAGGTTGCACTTGATAAGCGTTTTCTTTTTTAAGCTGATTTATAAGGATGTCCCTTGAAGATGAGAGCAACAAAGCTCTACTGACAACAAATCCTTTATGGGCTTTTCCATGTGTAATGTGTGTTCTCCAACCATTAATTACCCCGTTAACACGTCTACGTTTATAAAATCTATCATCTCGTGATGAACGATCAAAGTATTAAAAATGGCAATTTGCAAAAAGAAATATCTGCGGTGAAAATGTCATCGAGTGTCCTGCGTATGAAGCTGTATTATTTGTCCAGCAAATGAAGCCCATTTAAAAGCTTAGCTGTTCAGCAAGGCAGCGGGCCAATCTGCTTCCTTACTGAATGTCTGGTTATCTGCAACGAGACATCCTCACTCAACAAACAGCATACCTTTCTGGATATCCCAGAACAGAAGCAGGGGGTCAATAGTGTGCCCACATGCAGTCACTCAATTTTGTAACTTCGGCACACCCCAACAATGACTCCAACGAGAAAGTGTCGTTCGATGTGATGTTATAAAGCGGGAACCGTCACTTCTATATACACACACAGACACACATACACACACACATACACGCCGACATAGACATACATCGATTGCCCAGGCTGGACACCAATAAACACAAAGCGTGCTGCAATAATCTTCAATATACAACGCCCTCTCGCTTCTCTTCCTCTCTCATATTACACTTTCTAATCAATAACCTTCTCTATACCCATACCCATCTTTATAACAATGAAAAACGGTAACTTCTGGCTCGTCGCCAATTTCATCGCCGAAGCTTTGATTGTAGTTGTACAGAGGAGGAAGGGAAAGTGAGGAGGGGGACGTTTTGTGCACTGTCACATAACGTGTGTTTATGTGGCGGTATTCGATTGCCACAGCTATTTTTTCTGGGCTTGTTTATGGAAGCTATTGAATTATAGAGTGATGACGTATAATGTGGAAGTATTCGAAAAGACACGTTGTGCTATGCATTTCGTCTCTATTAAGTAACCTCAACAGCTGTTTATGACATTTTTCATTGAAGGGACGGTATTCCATGGAGATACGTGGAAGTGGAGTTGGGGTATTCATTTCTTCACTACACAATGATAAACGCCTTTGTTTGGTAATTCTCGGAATTCTCTGCATATCAATTGCTATGATTTATGTCGCTGTTTTGATTATAACTCTGACAATAACTGTTTTAGCTGTATTACTTGTTTTAAGTTTTTTGGCAGTCGGTATTGCATTCGCTATCACATTAACCGCCGTAAATGGTGAAGCTCTATACTTTTTTAAAAACGTAATTACATTATAACACTTGCTCTTATTGTTAAAAACAACGTGGACTTATCTTCGGTGAGCATTCTTACCCATGTGTTTTGAATCTGAACTCACTAATTTGTACTCTCTAATAATTCATAATATCTATTTTGCTGAATTCTTTGCTCATTTTTGTTGATTTTAGTCTTCATTGCAGTTGCGATGTTACTCATCAATGAGGAGGCTGAAATTTTCTTCAGATTAGGCGGTAAGATTTATAATCTATTATGTCAGAATCATATTTCTGGGAATATACTATCGATCAATGACGTGATAGCAACTATAATTAAGTTCCAGCGTAATAATTTGTAAAATGATTCCATTTCCAAAAAGCTTGTAAACCCCTCCCTCCAGTGTTGCAGAGATTTGTTTTGCAAATACAGAGATGGATAACGCTGAAATTTGTTTTTGTCTTTCACTTATATTTCAATGGTGAGTTGTAAAAATGTGAAACATATATTGTGGTCGGTATAATGCAGTGCCATTTGTTTTTTTTCATATTTGGTCTCTTTTTGTTGTAGTTTACTTTTTTCAGCGTTAACATCAAGTCTGGAAAGTCAGCATAAAGGTTTAAAAAATAAAAGGATGTCATTTGGCCTTATTTTTCGGAATTTTAAGACCGACGAAAGTTACATATCTACAGATGAGGAGAGTGATTTAAATGTTGTTTATGTTAAAGTATGTTTTTCCTTTAAAAGAAAAAAGCTTGATTGACATACATTAGAGCTGGCATGTTATCAGTTTAGAGCGTTCTGTTGATTGCTATACTAGTATTCTATATATATATATTTTTTTTTTGAGGCTTAAAGTTTGTACAACTGCCAGTTGATCAGAAAAGATATTGAGATTTTGATAACGGTTATTTTTGTATAGAAACGACAACTTTTTAGTTATAGCAGAGACTATTGGGAAATGCGCAGCATCAGATAACGATTATCAAGCGAAGAAACAGTGGAATAATCTGTCGGAATGTGCTTTTCGCTCTTTCATTCATCGCGCTGGTAATCTATCTGCCTTTTGGAAATATGAAATAAAGCGCACAGATGAATGTTAACGCTCATAGCAAACCATATAGTTTGAGGAATTAGTGTTTCTATGCGGAAGTATGTGTATGCTTCCAACTGTTTACTTGAGATTGTTTTATTTTACAGCTGCGATTCTGCTGAAAAAGTCGATGAGCTCATTGTTTCATGAATATAATATTAATACACTTTCGATGATGTCGTCTTCAACTTCTATGCAGAGCATCACAATACCGAACATGATTGCCAACATGCATGTCAGTAGTTCTTTGTTTGTCATATTTATTTTGTGTATTACAGCTTTTGGATTTCTCATCGGGTGCTCCACTGGTAACTTCTAAAATTCAGCAAGTTCCGTATTTTTAGCTAGTTCCTAAATAGACTTTTCCAATTTTGCTTTCAAAATTTTCTTTTAACCCCAAATATTTTTCGGTTATTTTAGTAAGCCGATTATTTACATGGATGAATCCAATACTGTTGTTATTGTTTTCGCTATTTGGTGCAGTCATAATTACGGCCTTGTTGGGATCTTCTAAAACTACATTGACTGTTTATGTGTATTTGCTCATGTTGGTGTGTTTCCATGGGACAATTTTTAGAGGTTTATGCTGCACTATTTATTAATTATAAGTATTATCGAATTGTACTCGATAATTGACAGTGATATAGTTCGGAAACTGAATCTTAATAGTGATTGCAGACCTTCATCATACTCTACCTTTTACTCTTCAGGTGGTCTAATAATATTGTGTGGGAGTGATTTTGGAGCGCCCAGCAGTATTTGCTATGCATGCACTCTTTGCAGCTGGAATATTTCTAATGTCACTGTTAAGCTCTTTCTGGTGTTGCTGTTCCGTATTCATATTCTAGTAAATTGCCAGATGACCATAATATGTCCAGCCGTTTGCTTATAAAGCGAGAAAAGAATTTATTATCAGCGCAGTTTGACGACAATATATTCATTTCGTATTTAATGATATGTCGTATTCATTTTTGGGATTGAACTGGGGTGTTGCCACCACAACACGCAACAGTTTTTGGATACTGGAGGATTTGGAACAGAAAGTAAGCCGATTTTTGTTTACTTTTATCTCGTATTTATTACGGGGAAGTTTTTATATTCCATATTTTTCAGTCTGGTCCGATTCAAAATGTTCATGTGGTATATTCATAGCGACATTTTTGGGTCTGCGTCATTTGTTGTTATGTTTCATTGCAGTAGTCTGTAACGGCAGCTACATTACAGCATACAATTTGCAGATGACAGAGGTTCGATGAGAAAGCTTTCCGAAATTTTGTATTAGATTTTTTTGGTGTTTGTCATAAACTTTATATTATCAGTCAAGTTTCAAGTAATACTGACTAATATAGAGACTAGCCTTGTAAATCGTTATCGAAAATTTATTGAAGACATACGCTTAGTTGAATTGTTTGCTGGAAAATGAAAGAGAAGGGAAAAATTCAATCGTGTCTTTGCGTAAATTCTTCGCGAGGAGTAAAAAGCTGTGTGCATCTATGCAAAATTATACCTAAAAACAAATTGCGTTTTCTACCTAGGAGTTCAAATTTCCTCATTCATTTGCGGCACTTATATTTTTTATTCTATCTAAACAGCTCCAAATCTATTTACGGATTGGAAGAAAATGGCAGTTTCATGGCGTGCTTGTGCTGTCTTGTTTTTTTTTTGTTGACGGGTGGTATCGAGCTCGTTGTTGGAGAAAGCTTAACTTTCTATGCTTTATTCAGACCGGAATTAAATCTTTCTCAACAAAATGGACTTTCCCTTACATCGATTTTTTGGCTTAGCATTGTTACAGCGAGAACGCTCTTCATACTAATGTGAGTTTTAAAGTCCATATTTAGATAACAGTTTTTAGTCAGTCTCTTTGCATTTATGAAATGGTTTCCATCGTATTTCTGATGGCTAACTTGAATTAAATATGCTTTAGGACTAAACTTATTAATATCAACGGCTTGTCAAATTTTGTACTTGTCTCTGCAGCAGTTGCTGGATATATTGCTGCAAGTGCGCGTTCACTTTCCGTTATGCTTTTCACAGTGTTTATTTTAGGTTTGTTTCACTCCAAAATTTCTGTGATAGCTAAGTCTTCATTTTATTTTATGAGGGAGACGAAGTGCCACTGTAAAAACATAAAAATTGCTCTTAGAAAGGTAGCTTTTGTGTATTTTTAAATGATGTACGTATTTAGTACTTACAGATTTATCTTTGGGACCGTTGTCGCCTTTCTTGCTTTGTTGGCTAGACGAACAGGACTTATCAAGCCGTCTGTCATTAAGCCTACTGTATGCTACCGGCATATCTCTCGGATGCCTCATTTTCCCTTGTATTATTGCTTTCTTCATTTATATTTGTTCCACACCAGCATCACTTTTTGCAGTTGTTTGTGTTTCACTTTTCTTTATCTACATTGTGCTGATTATGACGGTACGTACTGCCAAGGTTATAATACGGCTTAGTGTCATAAACCAATGCTCAAGTAGTCAAAATCCGGAAGCGAGCCAAAGCCGCTGGACAGAAAATACGAAACGGTGATTATATGGTCTTGGTGGACAAAAGTGATAGTAAATCTGATGTTTCTGCAGATAGTGGTTCTTTTGTTGAAAATATTTCACTGAGTTGACTTGATTTTGGGCATGATATGCAAGACATGTACAATTTTATTATCTTGCACGGGTTGGATGACGTCACTCTAGACATCCGGTTGTATTTAATGCTCGCTCTCAGTAATGTTATATCTAGTTTGTATGTACTATTTTTTCTGACATTCTTTGTTGTTTGAGATGATCATCTTTGTACTTCCCGAGATAAGATGCTTTTACTTATAGTCCGTCTATAATTATAAATTGTTCCGGTCATACCTTTCTCGACTATTTCATTTTATTAGGAATCAGTTGCTCATCGCTGTTACAGCTTACTTCAATGATTCTGACCTTTAAGTTGAACTGATTTGAAAACACCTGTCCATTCCCTCAATAGTTCTGTAAATTCTGAGTGTTTATTTCCATGTTATGTCTTTAACATATTTATTTAACTATTGCGCTAGCATTCATGTACACTTAAGGTAATAAAATTAAGTCATTGGGAAATGGGTAGCAGTTCATTTTAAGAATAGAATTTGTGGTAAGCACATTTTATAGATGCAAACAATGTCGGACTAAGACGACTTCGCGAAATATCGTCGAATTTGTCGTAGTTTGGGAACCTTTCATAATTTACAGGAGAATTTAATCCATGGAAGGGAATTTACTGGTTTCAAAGGGATGTATTGTCCCGTACGGAAGTGTTTCATATTTGAACTCATTAGGAACTTTCCCCGAAGGGACTTTTGCGTAGCAGTGTTTAGTTGGTGTGGCGTAGTGAATGTAGAGATTTGGTTACCTCAATCTAAGGCTGCGTTAAGTTAATAATACTAGTGTTTTAATCATAAGATGAAGGGGGATGACAACATCCAAATCCACATCTGCAGTTTTGTTACTCCCTTTAAGCCGTATGTCCCATTCTTATTCTTTGACCAAGAATTTTCCCGGTAACGAATGCTGTCGCTTTGCCTCAACAATGATGTGATCAACTGTATTCGTGCTATTTAGAGCACAAAAGCTGGAGAAATTTTGAAAAGAGCCAGCAAACTGCCTCGTCACAAACTGAAGTGAGTTATTCAAATTCGTTCACGTCTTTGTAACCGATTTACTTGAAAAGAGAAAGCATTTTGGCACTGGCACCCTCCACCAGACTACTAACATTCGTAACTGCTTGAGTAGCATTATCAATAAGTGCATGGTTGCTAATCGATGTGTTTGCATGCCCAGAGGCATTGTCATTTAATGCACAGTTTGCTTCTTCAATTTGTAGCCTTCTCGTTATCGACTGGTATGTTTTGCTGTTGAGTCGTTCATCATCAACACCTTGCAATTCCGAATCGGAATATATTTTCTAGAAATTACAATACCGAAGTGGTGAGTTTCATGTAGGCCACAAAAACTTCCGCCAAAGAAAACTAAAAATCTACTGCAAAAATAGTGGTGCATTGTTAAACGATAACTATTGATCTGCAAAAGAAAAAAATCGGAAACTAATATTCAATTAAATTTACCTTGACCATGAAAGAGAGACATGTTAACTGATATTGTGAGAGGGATTGCTGGAGTCTCTCGGTAAGCCAGTCATTAAGCATTTTCATCTGGCCCTCGTACCAGTGCTAAAAAAAATATTCCAGCCACCAAGATCCATACTGAAAAACTTGGTTCCTTCTCAATTTCCCAACCCGTAGATTAGTAAAAATAAAACAGTCTTTCAACATAATCTGCAAATATTTTGCAATCAGACAGTATTTACGTGCTCAAATCAACGTCTGTTAAGTATCTGTTTAACACCATCTTTCGCATCTAACTTACTGCCACCAGTTCAAATCAGATGAAGAAATTAAGTAACTAACTTCAAACAGAGCGTTGACCCACAGCTCGTCGACTACAACCTGCCTTAACTGTTCAGTACAAAGACGCATGAAAGTTACGTAAGAATGTCCATAATGACCTGAGTTCTGAGTTTGACTTACAATTGGTTTCTGAAAAAGATCAACGATTATCATTTATATAACAAAAAGTAGCTCTTGCATTTTAAAATTTATGCACCTTGCAGATGTCTAAAATACTGTTTCATAAAAATACCGGGTTTTGTGGCGATGATGCAGCACTACCCGTCAAGTTACCAACAATTCCCTGATCACCAACTATATTTTTCATTTTGTTGAAGATAGTTGTTGGTTTCGGCTGAAATTATTCTTAGGAAAAATATAAATTTACCACAAAATTTCTGGTGAAAAAAAGGTTCAATAAAATTGAACTGCTAAAACACACTGCAATTGAGAGAATCGCGCCAATCGGATTTCCCTCGTCATAACGGGCCAATCGAGACAAAACATATTCCAAAACCGATAAAAGCTGAAACAAGCGCATTACATCTCAGTTTAAAATAATTTCTCTTTATTTATCAGGTTGAATTTCAAGGAAAAACATCAATATATCAAAATAATACCATCAGTCAAGTTTTCCGCGGCCCAGTCAATCAATCGATTATTACTATATGTAGATTCGGAAAAATGTTCAAAATATTATCAAATCGTTTCTTTATCTATCTGCTGGTTTGTTTGTTGATAATTATTCTCTGCACTCATGAAATTTAACGAATACTTCACGTTATGAGTCAAGATTGTACCTTGTCTTCAATGCATGTTTCCATATCTTTCAGCATAGTATCCAAAGTTTCATCCAGTTTCGATTGGTATTTATACTGAAAGTAAAGATTGAGGTGAAAGTCAAAATAACTGCAAATTTCCTATCTCTTAAAGTGCAAAAAGGAGAAAAGAGCAGCAATTATTCAAAATTCTTTAGTTAAAAAATTTTTGAAAACAGAACTTTTAATGCCCCTTATATAAATGGTGATCAATAATAAAAGTGATCTAACGTGATTTAAACTAATTACATAACTTGCCTTGCTTGATTAGCTGAAAAGTCTACACACCGTTTTCCTCGGGCGAAATAGTAGGTGATGGACCGGGATGTGACCTACCTAGACTGTATAAACTAAATGATTTGATTTTTTTGGGCTTATAACAATAACAGAAATATTTGTGAGCTACCTTGTTAACTCTGCTGGCTGAACAACATGCCAACGTTGTCTTCATTAGACGATTTCAACTTATTTATTTGATTAAAATAGACAAACAAACTTCTCCCGAATCTATTGCCATTTTAGCTGCTCGAGATTTCGATGAGAAAATTACGTTGATCATAACACAGATTTCTGAAGGCAGAACATAATCCGTTGATTTTCGCGCGCGCTGCATGTACGAATCAAAACATTGGTAAGTACTGAAAAATTCAGATTAATGTAGTAGAAGTCAGTAAAGGATATCAAAATCAAGTTGCCTTTTATCCAGCTTCAAACATGCCAATTTGTGCATTTGTTGATCATTTCGCTGGCCAGGGCTTTCATTCTAATTTGCAGATACTTCGAGAACTCTTCCTCTGGCCAATTCAAATCATGTATGAAAATTTGCAAAGCGTCCAGTTTCCAGTAAGTGTCTTCAGATGTTGCACAACCGTCTCTGGAAAATTTTGGAACATATCAAATGATATTTAAAAGTGTTTAGTAGATATTAAACCACGTCAAGGAATTCAACACATGTCAGTAGAAATCAAAATGCATGTTCTTCTCAAACAAAAAATTGCAAGCTTACTTGCGTACTTCCCATCGTTCTCGTGCGAAGCCTCTCTCAATAGATTGCGCTATTGACTGCTCCATCAAATCGACATAACGTACTACTTTAGTTGAGAATTGGTGGATCAATTTTGTATGAAAAATGCCGTTTTTGAGATGAGCTATAAATGAAAAAGTATACGAAATAAGAATTGTGAAAAGATTTTCATATATATTTTCTATGGACGATTATGATTATGATTATTATGAAATTAGTCCATATTACTATTCAAATATGCTTTTTGTACATAGTCGCATATATAGAGTTTGTCTCTTTATTTCACTGAACTTATTGCATGCTGTGACTACGATCCGATGAAATGCTAAACATATAATGTATTCTTACATTTAAGCATATACGATGTAAATCTTTGTTACTAATCGAAATAGTTACAAGAATAAGCAAAATTCTGATGTGAAGGAAAAGAGTGACTACAATGATCCAGTGTTTATCAGGCATTGCGTGCGGATAAGATTTTTTTATTATTAGAAATAATAAACTTTAAAAAAGGAGGTGAAAAAAAGAAAGTCAGCAAGTAAAATTTGCTCTATGCGATCTGTTTGCACAACATTAATTATAGACCACAGGCTTCGGTAGTGAACCCATTGTCAATCACATTAACCAAAACGATTTAATAGTCTTATAATGTAAGAAAATTATTTAAAAATCTGTTTTCAAAAAGACTGCAACTTACAGTTATTACTCAAAAAATTATTCAGTAGCTGGAACAATGGAAATGAATCCCACGAGTCTGGAGGTTGTATATTTAACGCTGCATCCAAATCCACTGAATAAAGTGACCAAAATATTTCTGAATGGTCAGCAAGAAGGTCACTGAACCATGTGAATGCCTGCAGGCAAAGTGCGTACTTTTAGAAATTTACATAAAAGCAATAAAACCAAAATTAAAATAACTTGAAAAATAATTTAAACAGAAAAAAAACATGCATCGCCATGATGCTCTTCGTTTTCTCGTAAAAGATCAATGCAAAATTCCGTAACCCGTATCATGTCTTCAATCCTCTGCTGAGGACTAACATTCATATCCATGCGCACTAAAAATTTATCATAGTTGCGATTACATCAAAAAAGATGCTGCAAAATTCGCATTAATTTACAGATTCTGTGTACACTGAGGAAATTTTTTTGATCATGAATTTGTGCAGTAAAGATGTTACAAATGTTTGCATTTAACAAACAAAAGAATAACCTACCAAGAAGACATGCATATTTTCTAGCATTTTTAATTCTTTATCCTAACAAGCAATTCAGTGATAGCATTACAAAAACGAACGCTTTCGAAAATCCAAGGAGGCAAGTTCTGTTATCCCATAAATTCAGCCTTTGTTACAAAAAAAAGAGAAAATGTCCCTGACCAAGGATATGTTATCCATGTTTTCAACAAGATTCACTGAACTCGTGAAATATTCTCTCTTTTCAAATTTTCTCCGTTAATGATGAAAGCATGCACTTGAAAATAGCACAGCGTGGAGAACGCATAATTGTTTATTGGAGTAACCTTGGTATAAAACCTCACGCTCAAGCTTCGCTTCATTGCAGATTCGAGTATAATTAACTAAAGCTGCATCTTGAAGACATTTCCGGATGACGTTCCGGACTTCTTCTGGAGGCACCGGTGAAACAACGTCCTTCATTAGGACCTATATAACACGTTCAGATCATAGCTGCTATTAAAAGCAATAAAGTAAAAAGAATAAAGTAAAAACTCAAAATAGAAAGAGAGGATTTTAGAGAAAATCATACTAACCCTTTCAAGTAATGATAACGTTCCTTTCAATGCTCCTTCAGGTCGACCAAAAGGAAAACAATATCTGCAAATGCTGTTTCTATTCAACAATAAGTCATATTTACTTTATTTTTATAGATATAATAATGCTGTGCATGAACTGGTGCACAGAAAAATCCAAGTCATACGAAATCATACCTAAAGTTTGTAATCTGCTTTTCAAGCAGCGTTCTCAATCTTTCCTTAACATCCTGAAATTTTTCTTTCTCTTCTAATGTAACCGTTCCCACCCCATCTAACCTGAAAGTCAAAATATATAAAACAATTTGAATAAAAAGAATAATGGCAATGAAAAGCTTATATAAATCAATTTCAAAAAAGCGATTCTAAAACACAACAGAATCAACACAATAATATACATTCGTTTATACGTACGTATCAGATATGTGTTTTTTTTACCCTTCGTCTAAAAATCATATTCGCCCATAAAGCAAATAAACCTTAAATGCGTTATTCTAGTTTCTTTACCACATATTTTAAAATTTAATTTGACCACTTTTCCATATCACAAAAATGTTTGCAACAGCATAATTCAATGAACTATGAAAATATTGCTTTCAGCAAAAGTTTTCAGCAAACTCACGATATATCGCTAAATGTTAGTTCTTTAAGATCTAAGCAGTTTGCTATTTATTAAACGCTAAATCATAGCTTTCTTTCAGAATAGACATATCCGGTTCTGTCAGACAAAGAAGCGTGTCGTCCTTTGAGGATTCGCGGCATAGATTACATGCAATCCTGATGGAAACTATGATAGACATCTGTGCTTTAGCCTATGAACTGGATTTATTTTTTGCCAGACATACGAACAATAAGCACCAATAAAAATTGATACCTATTGCCATGAACATGAGATGCGCAAAAAGCGAATGAATAATGCATAAGCGTAGGATCAATAAGGAAGCCCTCATCGGCCTTATTGAGCAAGTCATTGAGAAGTGAAACATGCCGATGGCAACCGCGGACCATATAACGGGCGCAATACTCGTCTAACACAAATACTTGTCCAGGTGAGAACCAACCCTAAAAGCAATAGTAATTGTTTTATTTAATAACCTAGTTTTTACATATCGCTTATTCGAAACTTCTGGAAAAACACTGCTCCTAAACAGCAGTTGTTTGCTATTACTTTAGTTTTTAATCATTCAATAAGAGAATGACTTACTAATGAACATACAGGTTCATTCAGTCGAAAATCTAAAGCAAGAGATTGCAGTTTACTGAAAAGATGATCGTGATCAAAATTGATCGGATCCGCCTGAATTGGTTCATCCATTCCATGTTTGCTAGCTTTATCAGCAAATCCCTGCGCTTTCGATGGTACTACTGATGATTGCTTTGGAGGTACTGGTTTGTATGCTTGACCCGTTGCTCGGTATAATGCCTGCATATTATTGTGTAAGAATGTAAATAAATGTCGCAAAGATCAAATAAAATATTATATAGTAAGCAACTAATGAAGGGTCCATCTCTTTTTTGACATTATATAACCTTGGCGTTTTCTTCGTTCCCTGCATAGTATCCCTAGTGCGATACTTAACTGCCTATACTAGACGCTCTTCCTAGTTTGCCCACAAACATAGCCGCATACTCCATAATTCTTTATCTTAACAGCCAGAAGACTAGATTATCATTACAATATTTCTTCGATTAGATGCTCTTAACTCAAAGAAAAGCTGTAAGCTAATTAGGTGATTCAGCTTTACTTCAGTCCCTTACAAGTGACTAAGCTTAAACACTTCTGTTCCAAAGATTTGTTCGAAATCGAGCACAAGTGATTGAAGATGTTGCCCTTCTGCGATAACTATTGTTCATATAGTTCTTGTCTACAAAAAATATATCCATTTCACTTTGTCACCCTTCGGGATATTACATCCATGTTTTTTCACTCATCGTTAGAATTGCTTCAAAATGGAAAAGCAATCAGTGAAGTTTTTTTGAGACAATGGAAAAATCGTTAAAATCAACGGTTTTAACTGGAGCCACTTACTGTGGATCATATGAAATATATTTTGTTTTCATGTTTCCTCAACTCTCAAAAGACGCTCACTGACTCCTAAAATAATTGAAAAACAAGACAATATCAGCATCCCAAATTTTTCAACAGGTAAATAGACCACATGAATTCGGCTTAATTTTTTCCCTATGCATCACGACAAGAGGAGGAGGCACCATGCTTATATCACCGTGTGATTGAACAAGTGAAGAAAGTCCATTCATTTTTCGATTTTGTATAAGTTCGTCTTTAATTTATTTATTTTCTAATATCTCCATGTGCTACTTTGCAATATAATAAATGATTCCCAGAATCTATTCACATATACATATGCAAATAGTCATCTTACCATGACAAATAAATTTATACTGAAACTAGCAGATGATCCTACTTCACCACGACATCTGGTTTCAATGTTTACTGCTTTCACTAACACTCTCCAGTTCTTACCAGCCGATTTATACTGACCTGCCTTTATATCTTTCTCAAATGATATATGGTAAGCAAATAGCTAATGATTTTACTGAACTATTTTGCCATGCACCCAGTATGCTAAGTTTAATTTTATATTTCAGTATACAATTTAAGTTCGGACAAAGTAGTGGAGATAACTCCAGTAGTGGAGTTACTACTTTGTCCACTACTTTGTCCGAACTTAAATTGTGTACTATTGACAAGCAGAATTTGTCCAAATAAATCTGCGAAATTCATTTTCCCTACTGTATGGAGTTCCCATGACAATATTATCTCTGTTCCAATAAACAGAAATAAGTTAAAATTTCTCTTTCCTAAATAAGTTTAAAAAAACGAGTTGATCAATGAAATTCTTCTCTTTCTTTTGAACAAAATTTTTACCTGCACCCATAAATGCCTTTCATTTTCGTCATCTGTTGCAAACTTTAGTTCATCGCCTTCTTTGATTGCTGTGAAAAAATATTTTCCACCATGATTATATAGATCTGAAAAATAATCAGTCTCTATATACTGGCGACAATATAATTTTAATTTAGTTAAATATTCTTATAAAACTATAGATCAGAAAGAAAACGGCTACAGATGGAAATCTATGTTTCTTCCTTTTTGTGTTGAAAAATTTGAATCTGTAGTCTCACTCAAAACATAATGATATGACCACCGGACCTTGTTACTAGCCTTATCAGACTGAACATAAATTGATACCGAGATCCAAATATGCTTTTTTGCTGAATGAATTATCGAAGGTTAAGTTTATTCTACTAATGGGGCGGTCATGAAACACTTCCATGGCATTTTGATTTTCTTTCTCCATTCTTCTGTAGATTCTTCTGTAGATGTTACAAACCTGAGTCTGGTTCTGGCATGTAATCTATTGTAAATCCGTCCAGTTGAATAAATTCTGCTGGATCGGTCTTCTTTTCACGATAACTACACATCGCAAATGCATACTGCGAAACCTAAATATGAGAATTTTTAATTTTAGTGGAAGCTTAAAGTCTTATATTATATAACAATAAGACAGCATTATGATTAAGTTAAAGAGAAACATTAAAATTCTAAAGAAATTGAAAGACAGAACCCTCTTTACTTCCATCACTTCAGACTGATTTAAAGTAATACAAATAAGCGGACCACGTACGCTTACCTGTACTAAACAAAAAAACCGCTTCTTCCATTTTTTCCATGCTATCCTTCCAAGAGCGTAACAATACCCACAATATTTCAAATTAGGGGGTTTTTCAACTCGAATAGCTATCCTGATTTTAAGATCTGTATCTGGGCTGTTCTTTGGCACTGTCATATTGTACCATTCAGGTGTCCTTGAGCAATTTGGTGTTGGTCTGATGACAACCTAAGCGTGAAAGATAAGTTGAAATATGATGGGAATGTTTGGCTATCGTAAGAAAGAGAGAGAAGTAGAAGGCAAGCTTAAACTCTTTACCTCCCTCAATGAAATGCTACTGCCAAGAGGGCTACATTGATTTTAAAAATTGGTGTTTTAAAAGAATTTTTTTCTTACTTTTGATAGTTTCTTATTCCCAATTCATTAAAAGAAAATGTTGATGGGCTGGAAAGGAAACAATCTTATGAAACAATCGAAGCTCTCGTATTCTTGCGGAACTTGAGTTTAGCAATAGCTTGAAATAACAACAAAGCACAGCTTTTTATTACTAAGAAACTTGTAGAGAATTCTGCCCAATATAAATACTTTTTCGTATTGTAAGAGTGTAGACTGCTGCACAAAATTCCCAATTTAAGAGTTGTTCATAATTACCAAAACAAGAATTACTTTTCCGAGTTCTTTATCCTCGAAAGCAACTAAACTCTTCAATGCTGTGTACAGTTTCACCTTCACGGTTGGAAGAGGGTGTTTCGTCGTGAAGTCGCCCTGCGTATCCCAACTGAAAATTAATAACACAAAGATTTAAACGCCTAACACAACACAAATATAATTAATTACGCATATAATGGAGTAAATTATCTCGAAGTGAGAGGATGTTTTCCACTGTAAATATATATATTTATAGACAACGCGACTATATGTACGACTAAAAGATTTAGGAGTTTCCGTAAATCAATTTGCTATGTGGGCACATTATACTAACAATTATTATGTAATGGAATGCATTTGAAAAACTTTGAGTGGTAGATCATTATAGAAATAATGAAGGTGATGTTTACAAGATTTTTTTTAATTTTCACAACTTATCATGGATTATTATTTGAACATGAAGTACATAAAACAGAAAAATTTATGAAAGTATACGATGATTTTGAAGCTTCTGCATGATCAGTTTGCAATTTAGGGCATCCGTCAACTTCCATCGTACAGTACACAAGTTTATTTGATGCGACTGACTTCAGATTTTGCACTTCCATCACTATGACCTGTGAAATGGTAAGTTTAAATTTGGAAAAATAGAATATCAGAAATTCATATAAATGATAGAATTTACGGTAGAAATTTCCACAGTTATGCATAAAAAATTTCTTTGAAAATTCAATTGTTTAATATACGATAATTTCTACAAATGCATATCATTGTACCGAGCTCTGATTGCATGTCATTTTAACTTAAATCTATGAAAAAAGTGTACAAATCTTGAAATAATTCGTGATAGTGAGGCCAAATTTTTTGACATCACGTAAATAAATTCGGAAAAACACTGAAAATTCACCTCTATATTGAAAGTGAGGATGACGTCACTTTTAGTCAATGACACATCGTCATCACTGTCAGCTTTATTCAATGAACTTGAACTGGTACGTCGTTTCAAGCTAAATATTATTTTACATATCTTGGAAGTGGAATGTGCTACAAAGTAAAGAGAAAGCAAATTAGCAAATTATGATGCCTTTAAAGCAACATTTGATGGCAAACAGTAATGCCAAATCTTGGCAGAAATACAACAATTACAAGATCATGATTGTGTTTTTGTGCATTAGACTAACAACCTCCTATACACTTTGCATCAGAATTGGAAGAAAAGAAGAACACTCCATTCCCCTCTTTTATAAAATGTTTGAAGCTCAGTAAAAGAAAGCTGAAATATTAGAAATAACATGCATCTATAACAAAAATACACATTGCAAGGTAAGTGTAACTTTAACGAGAGATGGAAGTAATACAATTGATGGTAGAAGTTTCTTTACGAAAACTTCATTAAAAGAAAAACAAATACTCTGTTCGTAAATATGTCACTTAAAGAATATATAATGAAGTCGGTCTGGTTCTATAATAGACCGTTTTCATAAGCATATTTATACTGAGGTCAAAAAAAACTTTTATAAGCATATTTATACAAAGGAATAGTTCTTTGAATAGTTCTTTGATTTACCATAAAGCGATGAACCCCTTATCATCCAAATGATTTTATATTCATTTGCTAATGTTAAAACCTCTGGTACAACCAGCATTACAGACTTACTTGTCTTTGCTAAAATTTGCACGTAATTAATATACCTTTAATCTACAATATTCAATGCTTATATTTCTACGAGTGAAACTATTTACAAAAAAAACAAAATTTGCTAAGCTGTTATGCAATACCATCAATGGCTAATACCAAGCTCCAGCTTCATACTTTAATGTGGGATAAGCTCTTTGGATAATCATTTCATTCGGAATTTTCCAGCTGATTCAAGAATAAGTTCAACAAAACCAGAAATACACGCTTGAAAATCATTGTAGCAAAAGACTTTCATTGTTCTGAACGTATTTACCTTCCATGTTAATAAAAATTTTAGTTCAACAAGGCAAAAAAAGCATACGAAGTCACTTTACTGCATAAAAAGCAGGAAAACTAGATGCAGAGGAAAGAGAGGAAATGCATGTTACACCAACTGCAAAGGTTAATACACATGAAGCACCATGAAGAATACAAACCTGTTGAAAAGGGAGAGATCTTCGATGCTGCGCGATCTAAAATAGTCACATTAATACTTTCTATAAACCGATATTCTAATGAATAATTGAAACGGAGCGGACATGACCAAACACTGTGCACAACAACATCTGGAAACTAGGAAGCTCCAAGCTATTGATTCCTTGATTTGGAATGAGTCCGAAATTCATTATTTGAAACAAATAAATATTAGTGAACGTCCGCCTTTATAAGCAAAAATACAAATATCCGTCTAACCCATTACCGCTGAATTCAGGTGCTTCTCAAATATGGTTCAGAATGCATTCAAAAATGAACACTATAATTATTTAAGTGTTTTGATAAATCAGCGTAGTAAAATTCATTTGAAAGATGCGTAGTCAATCGCATTTTTTAAAGAGAAATCGATGCTACCAAAGAAAACTAAACCGACCTTTTAGCTTTCGAAGAGGAACTGAAAATTTAAGCTCTATTAATTCAAAAAAATAAAAATTTCTATGAAGTTATCTTTGAAGGCGCTCTTGATGTCTGACTTGTAGAACCGAATTTAAGCAACTTAGAAGGCTATAAGCTCCATTTAAGATGAAGGAATTAGCAATTCAACTTCGATGTCTAGCATTTTAAAGATACTGAAATGATAAGGCACCTCCGAATTTTAGGAAAACGAATACGTTTAGTGGCAAATGTTCAAGTTTAAATTGAACCTAGAACAATGCATATGAATAACATATATGAGATACATGTAAAAAAATTTATAAAACATGATATTACGTTGTAAACGATCAATGAGAACCGAATAAAACCTGAAACTTCACCTTGATATTAATAAAAAATTTTATCCTAATATAAATTATAATCCCTACCCCATGGACCATTCCTAACATATAAACAAATGGAAAAAGAATGATAAAAATAGTCGGTTTAAATAATAAATGTGCTCCTCACCTGCTTCTTCCTTTGGAATCCTTCTTCCTTGAAATAACACTTTGACCTCGTGGAGTAACAGGTACTGATTCCAAATTACTGATAAGCAGATTAATGGACTGACGTGTCTCGTCAATAAACAGAGTTTCCATATCTTTTACCACAAATTTAGGCATCAATTTCTTCATCTAGAGAATGTTTTTTTACGTTTCCTTATAGAATGAAAAATTTTCTTAGAGAACGAAATAAATTTTAATGTTTATTCAATATATATTAGCCCTCAAAAGAAAAACATATCGCACTTTCAATTCAAGTTTCTGAGGAACGCAGGTAATTAATCACCTTTTAGCTAACATAAAGGCTATTTTTAAAACAAAGAGATCAGGAGTATTCTGGTTCAAACTTTTCATTTTTTAGTAAACTTACTGTTTCATAATGGAAGTGATGAACATGAAGCGGAGGCAAAACACGTTTATTGCTTCATTAGCATTAAGAGTAAGTAACCTACTACTACTTTCTCTATTCATGCACAAAGTTCAACACTAACCCTTGACATATCTCGCAGTGTTTCCTCTCTTGTAGCAACTTCGCGTCGAATAGCCGCTGCTTGCTCATCTGGATTGTCCAGCTAAGCACATGAAATATATTTTTATATTTCTAAAAAATTATTAATGATACAGCTAGCAAAAATATGTAAAATTCAGTGTTGCCACTGAGTTGCTTTACTCCTTCATAACTAAAAGATTTCGAATCAGTTACCTGCAAGGCATTGAATATTATCTGATGTTCGAACTTCTTAACAGACAGAATCTGTTGGAAAATATCATATAGTTGATCTTTGAGAAGTGTCAAACCAGCATTGGACTGATTCATCCCACGCAGGCGATTCCTAAATTACGTTACTGCGTTTACTATGCGATGTTCAAAATTTAAAAAATTTCAGTCAGTTCATTCACTGGTTCGGGAACCAAAGACTAGTTTCGATTTCGATCATAAATAGCACTAACAATGTGATAGCAAACATCCTTAAATTAAATAAACTATTTGGTAATTAGAGTTGATGTCCCTGAACTGACCTTGCTTGTCTTGACTGGATCGAATCTTCATCTCCACGGATAATCGTGTCGAACTTGACCATCCAATTATTGAGTATCGTTTCTTTTGATACATCATCTAGTTCCGGTAAAGTTCTAACTCTTTTTTCAGTGTTGCATCGAAAAACCTAAGGCGCTGAGGTTTACTGTCAAAAAATTAAAATCGGAAAGATACCTCACTCAGCTAATGCTCTATGACCATAATAATCTATTGTACCGCAGTTTCTGAAAATGTAACCTAACTGGTTTATCATTTATACTAACCGTTAAGTAGTAACTGGTCAAGCTCCGACTTAACTGTTACAGGAATTAACTTACCTCTCTGAAGTCGTAGTGAGAAAAACCGCCAGCTTGAACAACTTTTTGTACTCGTTCAGACTTTAGAAAAACCTGTAAAAACTCATAAGGTTTATTGCATTTTACCTTTTCTTCCTTTTTACTTGTATACACCGACAGTACAACTATCGAATGCAGAAAATGAGGGCTGGCAATTCAGGAAAAAAAGAAACTGAAATAATCTACAGTTATCTTCCCAAACCTCGAAATACGATTCAACTGCTTTTGTGAATGCTTCATCTACCGCAATTTGTGCTTCGCCTGTCAAAAATGACCGAAAACGATCTTTAATCCTTGAGAGTTCTTGCCTCGTAACCTAAAAACAAAGTATCAACAGCGAGTTGAATATGTTAAAATCATACATTGCTTGAAATCGCATATTATTCTACTCTTCGACTTTACTTTTGGCAGTAAGTTAAAATCATTTTATGATTTAATGCAGTTATTATATTCCTACCAAACATTACTTCAAAAAATCTTATAATGTGAAAAAAACACGACCTTGAGCTCTCGCCTTGCCATATCGGTGGGTTGTTTTGCATTGAAATGATAAGCAATACATTTTGCAACAAAAACATATAGTTTCAATTTTTGTTTACGTTCCTCTTCTTCCACTTCAGCCCTACAATAACTATTAATTTTTAAGCGCTAAAGAAAGCATCCATTGATCATGTAATATGCAAACTCAAAAGTAAACTGAAATTATCAATAAATAACAACGTTGAATTTTCAGAAGCATGAGAATTACTGACATTTTTATACTATAGTAAAGTGCTTGACTTTATAAGAGTTTATAATTTTAAAGAGAGCTTTTTTAATCAGTATATTGTCATTGCACAATATTATTTTGACAAAAAAAAATTGAAATTTTTAGTACACTAAAATACATATACGACTACTGAAATAGGACATTGTTTCTCAGTACTTCAAAATACATCATTTCTGATCAGAACCATCTTATTTTTCGTTAAGCTGTAATCACAAGTTTTCTCTATATTTCAACCATTGTTCATAAATGAATGGACTGGATAAAGCTCACTTCATTTTTTCTTCTCCTTCTTCTTTGCTTATTTCAGTAGCAGAATCGATAATTGCATGTGCTGGCGTACTCCGCTCATTTGATGCAAAATCGTCATCATCATCAGAGATTTCCTGCAAAGACTTTTTGAAAATTGCCTTGGAAATAGGTTGTCAGGTAACTTGCCTACTTTGACTCTAAAACAAGGCTGCGCATGATTGGCTATACTAGAATGATCCAGGAAGTTGAGATAATAAAAAAAACTATTAGATTTCTAGATTTCGAAAATTAAGATACCGCTTTAATTAGCACTGCACCATAAGATGCTCCAGAGTCTTTTCTTTTTGTATGTAACGAATCGCCGCGATGTAACGAATTGGCTTGTGAGGCAGAATCTGATGGAGCTGGAGACACAGAACGTGGAGAACTTGATAATGGAAACTGATGACGCCGAAGGCAAAGGATCTGCAAGTAAAAATATTTCCATTCTTTTCTAAATCAAAATCCATAAGATTGAAATTTTCATCAAATATGAAATACATGGATGCTTTTAGTCACTCTATGAACGACATCAACTTTCGTCTAAAAAACAAACTTCCAACGCATCATTGTTATCATTGATTAAATTATCGTCATCGTCTTCTTCACTACTTGATGCTCCAAGCATTTGTATCTGTAAATTGATCTATCAATAATTTATTCTTCAAATTAAAAAGCAGAAATCAGTTCAGACTTGCAAGAAATGGCGAGCATCAAAAGATTAAATGAAAAGAGTTGAACAGTGCGTTAACAGGAAAAGGCAGCCATGAGAAACTAAATGATACTCACGAAAGTTAAGCAGTAAAAAAATAGAATTACTTGATTGGTAGCACTAATGAAAGCTACTTAACATCTGACTAATCAGCTCTAAAACCGAATCATCGGTGAAGTTTGCTACGTCGAGAATATTGATAATCCACAGGGACATTGACTGTGTGTAAACGATTGTGAACTTGTTGCCTAATAGCTTACTGCCTTTTGGATATTTGAAGAAAGAATAATTCTGACAAATTAAATTTCTCAGTACTTCCCAGACACCTGTAATAAGTTAGTTGAAAACGCAATCGAGGAATTTATAGCAGACTTAGTAGCGGCAGTTCATTGCGATAAAATTCACAGGTTCGTGTGGCGTATGAAGAAAGAGAAAAATAACTCAGTTCATATATTACTTATTATATATATTACTATATTATTATATATATTACTATATTCAATCGGATCGAATTTGAATAACAGTAGGAGATTTAAAATAAAAGATTCTGAAATAGTCACTCCAGAAACCGTTGTAGCTAACATAGTGCAAAAAAAAGTCCGCATTTCAACAACTCTATTCATCAATGCAATAAAACAATATTTTAATGAGTTCACAAAGCATCCCATTTCATTTCAGTATATGTTTTCTAAATATCAAGAATATACACTTAGATATATCGTAAGTACTTCAGGACGTTATTTCCAAAATAACTGATAATACTAGAAAAGAATGAATGTTCAAGTTATCAGGTGGAAAAGGCAGTCGTTTTGGTTTTTTTTTTTATTTGCCTATTTGTTAAATAGTTTAAACGCTTATGTTTATGAGTTTTTAAAAATACTCGAAAATAAACATTCCTTATTGACCAGAACTTCTCTTTTAAAAAACTGATGCTTATTTTTTTCAGTAGTGGTGAGGGGTTTGAAGGATTTATGAGTAGAATGTTTTCTGCCACATACACTACAATCAATTTTAAAGCGATCATTTCTGAAAATCGACGAGATTTCCGAATTGCATACTTTAGAAAACATTTTCTGTTACAAAATAATGGATGTTGCGTTATTGCATAAAATTAATATACGGAATTTAACTTCTCCTCACAATATTTCAATCAGAAATATTTGGAATGATAAGGATTTATAGCATGCAATTCGATAGCTATACAGTGATTTATCATAAATTTAACTGATAGAAACGAAATGCGCGAATCTAACCTCGCTGAATATTGTTAGTATTTCTTCCCTTAAAGCGACCGAAAATTTGTAAAACCAAATTTTGTCAAAAAATAAGAGAACAAATAGAAGATGGAATGAATTAGTAGCAAATGTTTAACAGCTTGGCTTCTTTCTAGCTTTAACGTTCGTTATACCACACTTAATGAACTTAATTTTCATAATTTTTGCTAATTGCTTAATGAGCCCAATTCGTCATAATCTTGACTAATTAATTGTAGATAATTTGAATGAGAGCGACAGTTGAAAGCAATTGTTGTAAAGAAGATTGCAATGAGCAGAATAGGATAGACAAAAGATGTTAAATCATATTTCGTTTTACAAGCAATAAATAAATGAGATGAAGTAGTTAATGAAACACAACAGGAAACAGTGATAAAGCATGAGTGGCAGAAAGGAAGTTTGAAGAGATAACTGATCCGCGTCATGATTATATTTTCTTTAGAGTAGTACTCCGGAAAAGGGAGTTATAGTACAGGCACGAAAGATATGGGTTGATAAGCTTGGGAGCACGCGCTTATCAGGGAGAGTTGTTCTAGCCAAGGGAGAAAGGAGGAAGATGGGATGTACAGCCAATCCGTTTAAGGATAAACGGCGTCCATTGATTAGCCTAAGCTTCGATGTTCAAAGAACTTAAAAGAGAGAAAGAGAAGAAAAGCATCTATTCTAAATTGAGATCGATACACAATGCCATCGCACTACTCTGTCTTAAGCCCAGCATTCACTATCGCAGCTAGTAAATGAGCCTGAAACACCAGTTTCGATACACAATGCCATGTAACTGTCTTTATATTAGATCTCTTCTCATAACTAATCTCTTTTCCATGAAGTGCAGATCAGATCAATCATTTCATTTTTATTTTTAATAAACTGAAAGTTATTTTCTCAGTGAATTTATATCTTGTCAAAACTTCATGTATTGTTTAGCCTATGAGTTCATGACTCAACCTACTGATAATATGGTCTTCAAATTGATCGTCAAAAACTGCGTCGGTGAATTATTTTTAGGTATATTTGGAGTTCCTAGATCATTCTGCTCTATTTATTCATGAATTTTGATGATAAAGCAAACCAATAAATATACGGAAGTTAGAGACAGACATTTGCTATAGATAGTTAATTATTTAGGCCTAGGATTTCTATACAGTTGAAAATATAATTCAGTGGTGCAGAATGTCCGATCAGACGCGGCAACTTCCAAAATATTGTTCACATCCTAAAATCCAATCCTCTCGAGAATGGAAATTCTTTTGGAAAAATGTTAGTTCAAGATGTAAACAACATTTTGAAAGTTGCCAATTTGACAGAGAGATTTTTTGGGCGAAATTAGTAGTACTTAAGAGGCTGTAAAAAGATTGGACAATTTTTTATCATGCAAAGATGATGAATTGTTGACAAATACAGATAAGAAACAAGACTGTGCTGTGAATCTTTCACTCGCAGCTTCCGCGGCTATTTTTAACCAAATGGTTTAACGATGGCTCTGATATTCCTCAGTGTTTGGCATGTGATTACAAATAAGAACTGTAATGCACTGAATGTTGAAATGATTCAGTAACCTCAAAAAGGTGATGCAAATTTCTGTCTTTTTTTATTCAATTTTAACTCAAATGCATTACAATCATTTGAAATTCTGTCAATTTCATCTGTCCTTAAAAGTAAATTATGGCTCACTTCACTATTATCACAATACAGCAAGACGTGAGATTTTTTTTTATAAAGTGACGAATAAATCGGCACGACTTCAGGTAGCTCTCTCATATCATTAAGCAAACATAATGATTGAAAAACAGTGAGTTTTGTAGTTTTCACTATCAATTAATTCCGAAGGTGGTCAGTCTAAGTTTAATCATTCATTTCCATACGACATGGATCAGCAGAAATTCAACATGAAAGTTTAATACATCATTGATTACTTTGTTTTTGATGTTGCAGTTATTCATAATAATATATATCTGAAATTTCTCACCGTCATAATTTGCAAAATTAGATCACCCCGACGAACTAACATAACAGTGGAGGTTGCAAAACATCACACTTTCGATTTTTACCAAGATTTTTTCAAAAATCTTTATAAAAGCGGTTACTTCCACTTCCTCAGTTTCACTAGAAGAAAAGAATGCAGGATTGCTGTTTGACTATATCTTGGTTATTTCACTTATCTTCATAATTTCCTGCGCATTACATCAAATTTTGAATTATTTCTTTTTAATTGTTATAATAGAATTATTTAGAAGTTGTTTCAAGTTCTCCCATCATATTTGAGGAAAAATTCAAAGATATGGTAAGAAAAAAAAGGGATATTTCTTTTTGTTAAGCGTTGCTATCATAATTTAGTTTTTGAATTTTGAAATAATCGTGAAAATTTGCTTTCTTGATCTTAAGTTTATTAAATATTTAAAATGATGAGTTCAAGATCAAAAATGCTCAATTTTCTTCTTAATAAAATTCAAATTAACGATTACTTGTAATCTAAAAAAAGAGCGCAGGATATTATCACCAAATGCTCGTTTCCCTTCCCAAAAATGGTAGTATTTAATTTGAGGGAAATTATTCGAATAATTACAATTAGCATGGAGCACCAGCCAGTCTAGGAATAATCACTTTGCAGCAGCAAACAAATTTGCGACCATCCATTCAAGTTTATAAGTTGCTTCGATTTAATAAAATTTCATGAAATGTAGAATTTTCAACCAACTAATTGCAAAATAACCAATTTTTTGGGTTGCAAAATAAAGATATAACCCTATTGCTTCAAAAATTCACCTATCTTACTAAACCTATCTGTTTCACATTGTGCTCAATATTTTCTTAGAAACGATCTAAGCGATTATTTTCTTTATGATACTATTTTAACATGCATGATATTCACCTATTGTCACTTGGAGATGAACATTGTAACATTTTCTGAAGATCTTGAAAATTTAAATTTAAAAAGAATTTAAAAATCAAACATTGGAGTGTTGGGAAAATTACGTCAACTCAACCAATCCATTCTATGTTCATCAACGTAGTAATAAATTGAAGAAGTTTGCGTAAGATAATAGGACAATTTGAAACCCAAAAGAGAGAGAAGCCCGAGCAGTTCGGAATTTCTAAAATAGTAATTTAAAGAGAGTAAAATGACAGGGCAATCGCACGTCTCATTCACTGCTACGGCAAATTTAACCAGCGTTATTGATAAGCAATACCAGTTTCTGAATATATTTTAAATTCTAAAGACTGTCAGGAAGGAACGAACTTTGCAAATGGCAAGCACAGAAAGGAATGGAAGTTTCATCGCGTCCTAGTCGGAATAATGCTCTGTCAATTAGTTTCTCACTGGTTGTGGGAATTTCGGGATATTAGTGGGTGGTTACATGGTTAGGTTTCACGTATATGTGTGTGTATATGCGACATGATGTGGACGCATGTCTGTTCTTAAAGTTAGGCTAAAGTATAGATTCAAAGATGGAGCGGTAATTGGACGAGAGAGAATTAGTATTGTTTTCCCAGGGGAACCCTTATGATGACATTTTCAGCAAGATCCAATAGAGTCTCTTTTGAAAGCTATTATTGTTTCAATATTATATTAGAGTACAACAAGTGGACAAGTAAAGTTTTTGTATCACATTATGTCTTTAGCAACTTCTTGAATATCTCTTCATCACTTGGGAATTCTTTGCGATCAAAACGAAATTCACACCGGATCGTGAACGTTATTGTGGACAAACGGCAGTTCTGAAATAGCTACCTCTACTTTTCGGTAATCCATAATCCTAATAATGGGGTTGATATTGCTTTTTGGTGAGTAGCAGGTTATCGGTCCCTCAGATATCTCCCGTGTATATTTTTTTCAAATATATCTCCAATGTTCATTTCTTGATTTTTATGGACAAAATTCGGAACTTACCTTATTTCGCCATATATACCAATCGGTACCACGTTTCTCATGATGATAAGTTACGAATGCAAAACATGACCGATGCGTTTGCGGTGTTCGTTTAATTAGATACGCAGTATCAGCATTTGGACACAATAGGTTGCAGTAAGTGCGTACAGTTCCATTTACTGCCTCCTTTAAAAACCATTAATTTGACCGATTATTTAACATCATTAGATAAGAAATATCAATTCTATTGAAAATAGGACACTTCTAAATGGGATTTCTTCATTTCAATTCATATCTTTTGCATATGAAATTTGAATTTCTTACATCAAAGCAAGCAGAATTGTTTCCTGGTGCAGGTCTCCATTTATCATTTGGATCATTGTCGACTCCTGTTTCGCGCAAGACTAAACTACAGGATGCGGGTTCCTTACTAATTTTGTCTGCACCTACTCCGTTTTTTGTGGTACATATTAGATCTCGCCATTCTAAATCCAACTGTATTCATATTTGGAAAACATCTCGCTTAAACATAATTTTTAGATGCATTTTAAGTTATCATCAATCTATCAATCTTAGTGTTAAGAACTTCATTTAAGCAACATACTCTTTATTTAAAACGTTGGTGTTTTAAAATCTTATGATAGTTAAGCTAGACACATTTCTGAAAACAAAAATTGAAAGAAATACTGATTTTGAAAGGCAGTTAACTTACGCCAGTGAACACTACTGGCAGTAACCAATGATAAGAACATGGCACAAAAAATACTGCAGCAGTAGCACATCTTGACTGACGACGCATACGAATATTCCCATTCAAAAATATTTTTATACTGGGATTTTGGAAGAAGGATCTTGTGTGCATCTTTTAGAACGGGTTTAAATTGCTCGTTTTGGATCCATCTTTTCTCCTTTCATTTAATCCGCAACTCATCATACTCATGTTTTCACTGGATCTATTCTATATGCAGTACTTTCGTTAAAAGTAATAGCAATATTCTTTTCCGGTTTTTACTTTCAGTGCACTGACAGCGATCATACTAATGATACCATTATTTTCATAGGACTCTTGATTTATTGTTCTTACACATTCTGTTTTATTGCTTGTGAGAGATGAGTTTTTTTATATGTAATTTTTTTGAACAAGGGGACTTTTTAATCGTGTTTGAAATTTATTATAGAAAAGCTGGCTAATGAGACTTCTTTTCTAATAGTCAGAAATAAATTATGATCTCTCCTTTATATGGGGGACTTTTATTATCTAATGTTGAAGTTCATGGAACGCGCATATCAGCATATTATTTTCTTTGTAAATGTTTAGTGCAGTAGTATTCGTTCGTGAAGTAATTATTCATGGTGGAAATTTTATTTGCCCTATTTAGTGTCAGTATTACAGCGCCCACTATTGTGTCTTTAAATGACGTTGCCTTCTTTGTTATCAGTATGGCGAATTCGTCGAGGCATATTATCATATGGGAATGTCACTTTACTTCCATTCTCCTCCATTTGAGGGAAGGAAATATCTTTCATCTGCAGTGTAGCACTGGTTCGAAAAATTATTTCACTGAATAATGCATAATTAACATGAGAAATGAATGAAGAATTTTCTGGTGTATCAGATAAATCTTGTAGTCCTTCGCAAATAGAGATTGATAATTTCAGTCGTAGTTATTAATTGCTCCAAGTGAGAACTTAATAATTGAACTTTAATCTGGAGTGAACAGAGATGTTAGCATTAATTAAGTAGAACAATTCTTACAAAATATATTGATGTAATTGTTATCCAAAGCATCTCCTAAATAATATGTATTCTCAATTTGCTTAATTTTTGTAGTGGTGGATTTGTTACAAATCATTTGTCATCCATCTCATGTACCTGTTTGCAAATAAAGATTTTTGATTTGGTGTTTTATCATTTGTTGGGAAACCTGATTCTAATAAAAATTTTTTTCGTAAGGGCTTTCTATCGCTCTTTGTTTGAGGCCGATGAGCTGCATAATAATGGAGCCTTCAAGAGTTTTTTATTGAGTGCTCGGTAGTTCATGTGTTTGCAAGTTATCATTTTTGTGAAATTTCGAAAATTTACCAAGACTCTATGATGATTTTTCTAATATTTTTCTATTTTGCTCTTGCGCTTTGCGATTCGACAATATTTAAGATTGCCATGCTCAGAATATAAAGAATTGTAACAAATTTTTATCGTTATCGAATTAGTACGTCTCTGACTGAAGAAAAGAAGTTCATAAATGGACAGCTTCCTAAGTTGTTCTAAATGTGCTCGATATGTCGATATGTTTTGGTACCGCCGAAATTCAAACTAGCGAATTACAAAGGCCTTCTCACTCAAGGACAGTGACACCTCGTTATTTCCGCGTGTAATTGTTTTATCTAATATATTTGTTTGTCGCTGTATTTGAAATTGATAGCATAGAGTTGTCGATAAATTTCTCCTACTGTCTCAGCTTAGTTATTAGCCTAACAATATTCTCCTATAGAAGCTTTTATTTTAAACAAATTTATATTGTGAACAACGTGCCTACCGGAAAAAAGTCTATCATAGAGCTTCCCCCTTTGCATCTTCGCTATGACTTATGTTTTACAAGGACATTTTGATAATTTTTCATCATTTTTTGTTTATTGGTGAACTTCTTTGTACATATCTCCACGTAGCAGTCGTATTAACATCTTGTCCGCACAATTCGCTTTTAATTATCATTTGATGTATTTTAGTCCATTTTAAGGATATTCTTCATTGGCATGAAAGTGTTTTTGAAATTTTTATTCTTTCTTTGACGTTATTCTCATGTATAAAGAAGTCGGAGTTCTGTTTTGCTTTAAATGCATAACGAGACAAAATTTATGTTGTATAACATTGTATATAAATTTCATTACAAGCAGCAAGTGTGAGTTACAAAAGATCAATACAATAGCAGAAAATTCTTTATTTGCTTCTACCACAATTTCTGCAATTGTTCATTTTCCGAGAACGATAGAAATAAATATTTGAGACATGTCATTTGTTCCATATGCAACGCGTTTTTATATCTTTTTACTGAAAAATTATGTTCCGAAAGCCTTTATGAATTTGAGTACTTTTTCGTAGCGATAAGTACTCCCACTAACTTGCACTAAAAAATTTGTGAATTTAATCGTAAAACTAGTTTTAACTGGTTTTTTTTAATGAATCATCTATTCTTTTAAGAAACGATTATATTCGGAAGATTTTTTCTTATTTTAGATGGTTTAAAAAAGGGTCGCCATTTATGAAAATATTTCGTTTTCTTGCTCTCTTTCTCTTTCTACTGTTTATTGTAACAGTCCATATAATTATGTGGCTAAAAAGACGATTGGATCTATTTTCATTTCCAAATAAAACATATTTGGAATTATCGTACTGAAGAAGTGAATTTATGAAGCAAAAGAGGAATTTTCTTTATCAAGTTCAATATGTAGCAGTAAAAATGTAGTAAAATGATTGATTTACTTAACATAAACTTTAATAACTACTCAGCCTTCTCTCTAAGGCCATTCGATGAATATAGGATTCCTCCTTTTGTTTCTGTGATAGAAGTAGGAAAAGAAAAGATAGGGGAAGAAACTGGAGAGAAGGAAATTAAGTTTATGGTGTCTGATGAAACGACTTATTTCCGCATTCCATAAACTGATGCAGGCTGGTTTTTGCTCACTTTTCACTTACAATATGATGTACTCTCAACTAATCTGTTATTATATTTTCAATTCAGTTATATCATGTTTCATTTTTTTTTATTTATGAAATTATGCAGTCGAATCTTATTATTTGTTCTTGATGTTTTCACATCTTTTAGTAAATACAGAATGTTAAAGGGCATTTCTCTGGTTTTTGAAAAATCAATAATTGCAGAAATTACAATAGAAATAAATAAGGAAGAATTTTCTGCTACTGCGTTGATCTCTTGTAACTCATACTTGCTGCTTGTAATACAATTAATTTATATACAATGTTGTCATTTTATCGTTTTGATCGTAAGAAGTGAATATTATTTTAAGCAGGACTTACTCATGATCAGCTGACAGTTACGAGTTATTCTTGGTCTAGAATCAGTATTTAAAATTATTTCTGAAGTGTCGTTTATTGCTACATGGCATGCATAACTAGTTTGAGTTTCCAGGATTTTAAGTTGTTCTAGTTAAAAAACGCACAGATATGGTAGCTGGTGAAACAAGCGTTAATAACAAAGTTTTCGAGTGCAATGAAGACAACGATTTGTGCACAAAAAATGTAAATTTCTCTACATTTTGCATTTCCATTGTTACTCTTCTTCAGTTATATAGATAGTTTGAGGATCTAATCTGTGCTCCTGTATTAAAAAAAAATATTACTTTAGAACTCAAGGACATATCCCGGACTAATATTCTTGCCAAAACATGTAGTAATTTTATCAAAGACGACGAGGTTGGATTATGAGAGGCAGAAGCACATGCAGCTCAGTCGAACTCAGTTTTATACACTGGTTCGAGATTTGATCAGTTTTATTACTTCTATATCAAACAAAGAAATTTGAGAAAAAAATTGCGTTCAAGTTATCATTAAAAATTTTTTTTCGTTTCTATAAAACTGTATGCTGGATATTGACCGTATTTTCATTAAATTATTTCAGCTAAAAAAAAGCGGATGGAATTATAAAGAAATGAAAAAGAAACACATTGAGCAACAGAATTATGTTCGTGCCATGCGCCAATGTCTCGAGTAAGTGACTGTTCGTTTTACATGTCGCAGTTAGTCGAGTTTATAAATTGGTTTCTAGTCAAAAATGAGGAAAATTAAGTAGATATAGAGGATCTAAATTATAGTGTCAGAACAAAATGTGATTAAATAGTTTTAGCTTCAGTCATTTTTCAGTTCACCAGATCCAGCGTTTAATGGTATTTTTGAAGTATGTCATTATCCTCGTTAAGGGTGGTTTAATTGCGATGAATATGCCTATTCTTCAGGCAGCAGCGACGTTACCATGTTAAATCATAATATCCTTTAAATTAAACTAAATTATTTCTAATATGTTTATAACATAAATATAATATCATCCCTCTACTACCAACTTGTCCTGGTTCTTTTAGAAAATATGGAATTGAAGTGGAAGTTGTAACGCGAAGCGAATATACAATGGAAGTAGTAGCCCATGCAGATGCCGTGTTTTCGGCTGGAGGTGATGGTACTTTTTTGATGGCTGCTGAGAAAATACGTGATCATCGAGCTGTCGTTGGCTTCAATACCGATCCAACGGGGTATTTTAATCATATTATCTCTAGTCACCGTCTTCTGTTTTTCTTTACTAAATTTCTCGTAGTGTCGTGGAGGTAAATTGTATAGTTACAACGCAGGACAATTTAGTTCTAACAACTCTAACAAGCAGTGAATTGGCTGCAGCAATAGCAAACGTCTACACAAAACTTTCTCATATAAATACTAATCTCACGAAATATGGAAGCTGTGCATTGTAGCAGTTCATCTGACGATACATACAAATGGCTACTGTAATTAAAAATGGATTTCGGTACTTACATATTTTGTGATTTGTATTCCAATGTAGTTCTACTCTAGATAAATGATGAGCTTCTTAAGACTCAAATTCATCAGAGGAAATATTCGGAAGTTGTTAAATATTAGAAATGTATAGGTCCGAAGGTTATCTGTGCATAACAAGGAAAGGAACACAGCCAGTTGGTGAAATAATCGAGAAACTACTCAAGGGCGAGTGCAGGTGCAGTATTATTTAGCAGTGCCATACCGTTTGGTTATGCCACA